GTTCTTTTTGATCGTTATTTAAAGCGACTCTCAGTTTGTTTTATTTTTCTTGGTCCGCTATTAAAGCGCCCGACCTTTATAGTATTATTGATCTGCTAATCAAGTGATCTATATAAATTTTTTATGTATACATTTAATTAATTTAATAAAGTGACAACACATAATCTGAATCAGTATATTTTTAAATTCATGGTCTATTTCATGGTTTTTTGGTGGTACTTGTCATTCCTACTGAACGGGTAAGTCTGTTTTTTATTAAACTTCATACAACAACGCCTGACGCCGGACGGTCTTCAGGGAAACGTCGGTGCAGCCTGTAGTCCATGCGTAAGTCCGCCAGCAACGTACGTCCGTAGTGTGAGAGGCCGCCCAGGCCTTCTAGTTCAACATCGGACCACTGCAACCCACGCCGTCACCATGCCCGTAATCATCTCAAGACTCCAATAGTTTTAAATTTAGCATAAGTCTTGTCCCTGTTTTTGTAAGCTCGGTGATCATTGCACCATACCGATTCGACCACCGAGCCCCCTCCCCATAACTAATTTGCACCATCCTAAATTCCTTCCCTTTCACTCCCGTACGCTCGGTCTGTGAACATACAGTTGCCTATCTGTCATCATATCAAGCGAAGGAATATGGTTGTCTATCCATTGTCATTTGTGGCATTAAATGATGACATTGGCCATAAGGCATTAATTAAATTAAACTCTTGTTCTCGAATTGTCGAGTGGTCCATCGGGAAACTCCCTTTGTTGGGCGTTTACACCACCCTTGTGTTAAGGTTAAAACTATATTATCTACAATGCTCTACTTAAACCAATCTGGACGTATGGACTCCAACTGCGGGGTGCTGCAAAAAAATCCAACACTAATCGAATCCAAACATTCCAAAATATATCTTTCCGACAATTATCGAATACCCCGCCTTATATCTCTAACCAAACTCTTAATAACGTCTCTATGTAGAATATAAAAAAAAAAATTAATTAATCAATAGCCAAGAGTCACTAGCAGGTGGCTGCTTAATCACATATTTCATGTCTTATTTTTTTTTCTGTTTTATTTTGTTTCGTCTATATGCTCACATTTAATATTATGATTAGARTGTTGTGATAAAATATTTGAAGTTAAAACATAATAAATGAATTTTTTCAGCTATTGCTATTTTTTGTATGCATTTGACTTATTACGCATGGATCAAATCTGTGAAAACTGGTAGATGGTATGATAAATATTTTAACTATAAATTGAAGTTTAATTTATAAAAAATTTWCAATAATAAATAATAATTACTACAAATATAAAAATGTATTGAATTTGATTCAGCTGTGCTAGGTGGTTAAGAATATCTGATTGCTTTTTTAAATGATACTTTTTTGAAAAAAATGTGTTGTTTTTTTTAGGTATCATCTTGGGGTGGATATGTGTTCTTAATAAATTTAATACCAATGCATGTATTTGTTTTGATGGTTAATGGACGTTTTTCACATTGAATTTATGTAGCGTATAGTACAGTATATTGTATTGGTACTATATTGTCAATGCAAATATCATTTGTTTGGTTCCAACCAGTCCAAACTTCTGAACATAATATGATGGTATAAATACTATTTATTAAAACTTTTTGAATTTTATTGATATAGCTTCTTATTTATAAAGGCTTTAGGTGTATTTGGTTTATGTCAAATACTTGGTGGGATAAATTACATGCGAACAAAGATTGTTGGTGATGATTTTCAGACATTRTTACAGTTTATTATATATAATCGGAGGCATTGTAATTGCTTTTGGTACTTTACTTACAATAACTGGTAAAAAATAAATAAATATAATTTAAAATATTTTTTTCATAACATTTTAAATTTTGAAGGAAAAATTGCTCCATGGACTGGCCGTTTTTATACATTATTGGATCCATCTTATGCTAAAANGAACAAACCAATTACTAAGTACAACAGCAAACAACACAGCAGAATTTATAGAATTTGTTAATAAATTATTTGACTGTTTAAATAGTAGAACATTATTTAGTAAAAATCCATACAACTGTGCATTGTCTGACTCAGGTATTGTAAAATCATTTTTAATTGAAGCATCAACATATCGTCGGTTAAAAGGCTATTTGCTGTAAGCGACACATTTCAAACTGTTAAGGAGAACCCAAAAACGATTTTATCTTTTTTTTTATTTTCAAAATGGTATAACTTTTTTTGTTTTATAGATAATCCTTCAATTTTTTTTTCACATATACGTATTATATTTATCTTTAAGATAAATCTAATTCCWTAGAGTAATATAACTTTTTGATTTTTTAGTAAATACCTACATTTTATTTTTGGCGTTTRCCACATTTTAATTTGCTTACTTGTACTTTTGTCGCTTACGTTATTTACTAATAAAATGCTTCAAGCGCCATCGAAAAATGTAGATAAATATTCGATCTCAATAAGTTTATTTATACGTGGTTTCATTTGGTACCTACATCAAGTTTTCGGCTTCAAATACCGTACTGTATTTATAAGTATGCATTGAAAACAATAGGTATTTTATGGTGTAGGTACTTACCGAAAAATAGTTGAAACCCTTCGTGTGTTAAAAGCGAATTAAATGACACAAACACTAATAGGTAATAATAAAATATTATCTTATGTGATAGTGGATCCACTATCCACGTTCTCTTCAACAAACTTGACGAWTACTTTATTATTATCATCWATATAAACAATAATATAATWATTATTATTTATTATCATAAATTATTTGGCGGTTTTAATCGTTATAATATACTACCTCCAAAATATTATACAGCAGCTGTCTTACATTATCTGTGATTATTATGATCAAATTGAACTAACCTAAAAATCAATATCCCTTACCGCATTTTTTT